CCCCCCACCCCCCCGGGCGCTTCCCCCCGCGGCGGGATCGCGTCGCGCGTGGGGCGGCGGCGGCTCCGGTGGCACCGAGCGGCTCCCCGCGCCCCTCGGCGGCCCCGTCCCGTGTCCCGGGCGGCCGGCCCCGCGGCTCCCTGCGAGGGGGAAGTCGCAGCGACTCCGCCAGCTGAGAAAGTCCCTTGTCTCCCAGATATTTATTTCCCTGGTCGGCGAATGCGCTCCGCGGGCGCTCGGCTGCCAGTTGGCATCGCCCCTCTTAGGATTACGAAGGAGAGAAAGATAAAAAATATTAAAAAAAAAAAAAATCCCTCTTTTGCTCAAACGAGGAGCAACCGTCTCGGCGGGGCGAGGAGAGAGGGGAAGGGTCCGGGCGGCCCGGGGAGGGGACGGGTCCGCGCGGACGGCGCCGCTCGGGGTGGGGATGCTCCGGGCAGCCCGGGCGGGCGGCGCCGCCGGCAGCGGGACTTGTTGCCGGGAAGGGCCCCGGGAGCGCGCAGGGAAGGGGCTGCTCCCGCAGGGAAAGGAGCATCGCGTGGAGGGGGCTCCGAGCGCCGTCCCGTCCCCGCGGCGGCCCGGGAGCCCCTCGCGGGCCCCGGCGGGAGGGCGCTCCGGTTCCAGCCCGGGGCTCTGGAAGCCTTCCCGGCTGCGACCCGCCTCGCGGGGCTCCCCCGGGGAGGCAGCGCCGAAGGGAGATGCTGTTGGTGGACGCGAACAGGGGGGGGGGTTTGCCACATGACGGCAAAAACCCTCGGCTCGGGGGTTTCCGCGGCCGGAGCAGCAGCGCGGAGCCGAGGAGAGAGGGAGGCAGCGGCGGGAAGCGGCGCCGGGAAGCGGCGCAATCCCGGAATCCCGAAGGGCGCCGGGCGAGAGCGCGGGGCTGCGGGGCGCTCCTGCTCCTGCCGCTCCCGCTGCAGCCCCGCGAGCCGCCCGGAGCGGGCAGCGAGGGGCGCCCGGCGCTGCGGGGCCCGGGGCGCCTGCGGCCCGCGGGAGCCCCACGGGCCCGGGGATGCGACACGCTCGGGGAGGCAGCGGTTCGAGCCTGGGGGGTCCCTTACCCAGGTCCCGATGCGGGATTTGGGGTTTCCTGGCGTTCCCTTCCTGCCCCTGCAGCCCTCGCTCGGCACCACGAGCCGCGTCCTGCTCGGGCACGGGCGGCCTCGTGTCCCCGCTAACCCGGGACGGGAGAGCGTCCCCGCGGGACCGAGGGATCTGTCAGGCCCAGATGAGGCCGGGAGCCCATCCTGTGGGACCCCCAGCTGTATTAATGGGGAAAAAATAATTTTTAAGCGCTGGGATGATTGCCAAATTAAATGACCTCTGACAAGCCGGCTGTGCTGAGGGGAAAATGGCCTGCGGCATCGGGGTGCACTCCACTCGTGCCCTGATGCACCACGAGGCCACCGGGGAAGGCGAGGGCCGGGGGAAGCCACCGGGCAGGCGGGATGCGCTCTGCCCTGCTCCTGGCAGAGCCGCCACAGCAGCAGCAGCCGCGGGAGCTTCGGAGGCTGAGGCTCCTCAGGGGCTCCCTGCAGCCCCTTGCTGCGCTTTGGCGCTGTGGGGCCGGTCGTGTTGGTGCTGTGGGGCCGGTTGCACTGTTGGGATTGCGGGGCAGGGAGCTGCACAAAGGTGCAGCAGATCTGCGAGGGAGAAGACCCTAAATACCACATTTATAGGTCAAAGTTGCCACAGCCTCAGTGGTGCAAACTGGTGCCAGCTTGTGGAAGATCTGCCCCGCTGTTCTTGGCTGACATCCGGTGGATTTTTGTTCTGTTTCGCATTTTCTGTTTGAGCAAACTGCCCGGATTTGCTTGCAGGGTTTGACCCTCTCCTTTTCCATGAGGAAGCCCGAGCAGCTCCCCGTTTCCGACTGCCGTTCAATTCCTCCACGCATTATCGTGGCAAAGGAAGGGCGAGTTCCCTGCGTGTGCACACCTCCTTCTCCCTGTCCTTCCTCACAGAGAACAGCCGTGAGGGTGGTTTCTTGCGGGACATTCTGGTTGAAGCGCCGGGTTCGGCCTCCCCTCGCTGCCCCGGCAGCGCCTCCCGGGCCCGTCTCACGAGGCGGCCTCGAAACCCGTGTTTGAGCCCCGCTTTTTCCTGCAAACCTGCCCCTCACCGAACCCAGGGAAGGGCCTGTCAGGTGTCTCCAGACCCGGCAACCGAGCGGCATCCGCGGCCTCCTCCCGGGATAGCCGGGCACCCGGTGCTGCCCGCTCCGCCGGCGCCGCCTCTCCGAGCGCAGTGCTCCGCTTGCCCAGCGCAGGGTGTCCGCGCGCCCGGCGGGTTGGCCGCGGCGTCGGGCTTTAATTTTATTAAGTGAGTCCAGGGCTGGCAAAGGCTGCTGGAGCCCATTAGCTTGGGAGCACGTCTCGCTCCTGATGCGCGCAGCCTGGGCAGGAGCCATGCTGCACACACACATACATATATATATATATATATATAATTATTATCTTTGTGCTGGTTCCATGCAGTTGGCTGAAAAGGAGGATTTCCATCTGCAGACACTTTTTCTGCTAGATGTTAGCAGGTTAATAAATAGAAGGGATGACATCACAACAAAACATGTGTAAATATATTGGTTCTCTGGCCTCTTTGGATGGCCCCAGGAAAACCTATTTCCCTGGCACAAAGATGTGACCTCGTGGCACCAGAGCAGCCCTCGTGACTCCTTATGGAGAGAGGAAGGAGAGGGGAACCCTGTTCTGGTGGTGGCATCTAAACACCTGGAGAAGGTGGTTGGTGCCCCCGTGAGGTTGCTTGCTGGCCCCGTAGACCCGAAGCGCGGTGGGGGATGAGGAGATGTGAGCTGTGAGCCGGGTTGTCCTTGGTGGCACGCGGGCTGTCACCGGGCGCAGACCGAGCTGCCGGCACCGTCCTGCCTGTGGATATCCCGGGGTGCAACAGGTCCCGCTCCGGAGGCAGCAGCTCCGGATCTGTGCGGCACGTGGCTCTAAGCGCGGCGGCCTCGAGGCCGGGGCTCGCGGCTCCCGGCGCCGGGTGGTGTTGGTGGTATCAGCCTAGCGGGGAGCGTGTGTGCGAAAGCCGGGGGGACAGCGAGGGGCTGACGAGGTGTGGACGGATTGACCGTGTTTCCCTTGCTCGGCGACTTGGCCCTTTCCAAGAAAAATAATCTGCCGCTTGGATATTTCTCTTTGCTGGAGGGGGTGGACATGTGTGCGAACGAGGTGCGAATTTCTCGCGGGAAGGTGCGAACGCGCGTACAGGAGCGAAGTGCGAATTGCGCGTCTATTTGTACGCCCGTGTCGGCAAGCGCGTGAATTCCCCGCAGCGGCTCCCGGCCGGAGCGCCGCGGCCGCCCGGGCGGGCCAGCGCGGAGCAGGGAAGCGGCTTGCGCAAAAGCGCCGCGGTGGATGCCTGTGTGTTGAGCAAGCTCCGCTGCGGAGCAAAACCAGATGTTCCTCTGGTGTTCCCAGCCCTTCCGCGGCCGCCGTGCGATTGCTTTGGGGGTTTTTCCCCTTCACTCCCATTTTTCAGGATGTTTGCAGGGTTATTTTTAAGGAAAAGGGGCAGGCGGCAGCGCTGCCTTTGGCGTGGTGAGAAAATAGTTATTTTCCCAGGTGAATTTGTGAGGGGACCCCGAGCTGGGGACCAGGGCTCTCTGGGCCCCGGGAAGCGCCGTCCCTGCGGATGCTCCTCCCGCTGTCGCTGCCTGCGGGAGCCCGTGTGCAGCAGGGGGTTATTCAGCGCCTTATTTTTTTCCCTATGTTTTTCCTCCCCTTTCCAAACGGCAGAGCAGCAGGGAGGTCCTGCGCCGCTCCTCGCGTTGGCCCCGGCTGAGCCGGGATCCGGGAGGTCCCGGAGGCACCGAACATGCGTCTTTGCCCGGTGCTGCCCTCTTGCCTGTTGGTGGGCAGGGGAAGCCCGTCCCCAAAGCGGCGGTGGGGCTGCCAGGACCACCCTGAGCACTCGCTGGGGGTCCATGGGGTTTTGCCATTCTGGGGGCACTGCTGTCCTCCGGAGGCAGCCCTGAGCGGGATGTGCAATCCCGCGGCGGTGCCCTGCGGAGAAAGGGCCTTTGTTGGGCCTCGGAGAGCGCCGTCAATGCCCCCAGTGATGCAGCCCTTGCTCCCCGCGGGAAATGCAACAATAAATTTGATTTGCGGGCCGGGTCGGCGGGGCCGGCGCCCGGGGGCCGCGCTCCAGCCCCTGCCCTGTCCCCGCAGCCCAGCCGTGCGGCGGCCGCCTCAACTCCAAGGACGCCGGGTACATCACGTCGCCGGGCTACCCGCAGGACTACCCGTCCCACCAGAGCTGCGAGTGGGTCATCTACGCGCCCGAGCACAGCCAGAAGATCATCCTCAACTTCAACCCGCACTTCGAGATCGAAAAGCACGACTGCAAGTAAGAGCCTTCCTCCTCCTCCTGAGCGCGGGGTCGCCCGTGGGGCTCTCCATGGGGCTGGGGATGGGGCATCCCCATGGCGTGAAGGGCGGCTGTGCCCTCCGTGGTTCTGGGGGTTCGTGAGGGGGACCTGGTGGTTCTGGGGGCCGCGCGGTGCCGGTGCCGCCCGCGGCTGCCGGGGGGGATCTGCACAACTGCTTCCTCCTGCGGCGCTTCGTTTTGCCTTATTAGGCTAAAGCTGCTCCCTCGCAAAGCCTAACGTTTACATTCCTCAAGCCCGGCCTAGGGCCCGCTGGAGTAGCTGCCGACGCTGCTGCGTCCGCGTGTCATCCGTCCCTCCCCGCCAGCGGGAAGGGGTAACTGGGTGTAAATGAAGCCTCAGCCAGTCCCTGGGGGCCGTTAAAAGCAGCTTTTAGTATTTTTTTGTATTTTTAAGTCCACTTTTTATAGTGGAATGGCCCCAGCAGGTTTTTTCCATGGTGCTTCCCGAAGGCGCACGCTATCCAAGGATGAGTAATTCGGAGCCAGACGGGAGGATTTGGGGAGCGCGGCGGCGGTTTGCAGCCCCCTCTGGTGGCACATGCCCGCTGCTGGCGCACGGCCCCGGCACGGCTTCTGCATCCCCAAAGCAGGCAAACGCGGTGGCCGGGGCTGGCGGAGCCGGGCTCTTCCCAAGGCTCTTCCCTCGGCTCCCTGCCGGCGGGTCGGGCGGGCGGGACGAGGCGGCAGCGTGACCGGCTGACGCTGCCCGGTGCCGGGATCTGGGGTTTTCCTGCCGGGGGAAGTGACCGCCGCTCCGGCCGCGGGGAGATGCCGGGCGATGGGCAGCCCGGAGCAGCTCGCGCCGCCGCTCGGCCTCTAACGGGCTGCTTTGCTGTCCGTGGCTTTCTGCTTTTTATTTATTTATTAAAAAAAAACACCCCAGCTTTTGGCTGGGATCTCCCGTATGGTTCGTAATCCCTGTCACTTCCCGAAACGAGTGGGTTGGCTGCAGACCTCGAGGCGGGAGTGATGCAGGGGGTGACTCCCGTTCCCGGACAAGGTCCCGTTTCCGAAGAGGGGCAGCGCCTGCTGCTGTGGAGCCCGGCGTGTGACGGGAAGCGAAACCCCGACAGGGGCTGGTGGTCAGGGAGGGGTGCCCACAAAAAGCGGGAACATCCCCCTCTTTGCTGCTCCAGCACGGAGGCTGGAGGCAGCTGCTCGGCTTCCTTCCTCTTCTGCGGGGGCTCGCACGAGGTTTTGTTCCTGTTATTATCCCGGGAGGGAAAGGGACAGTGTGAGGACTGGTGCTCGTGTTGGCCCTCTGGTAGCCCTGGCGTTGGACAGCACGAGTGTGGCGTCCCCATCAGCAGGGGGGTCTCACCTTGATCTGTGTTTGTCTCAACGTGTTGGAGCCCCGTGACCTGCTGGGTGGTGATTTCTGTGGTTAAAGACATCCCTGTGTCCCTGAGTGCGGTGGATAAGGAATTCCTTAGGCCTCCAGCAGGTCAGTTGGAGGAGAGCTCCAGGGCCCTCTCCCTGTCCCCATTCCGAGCCGTGACTCCCAGAGGAGCAGCCTGCCACGGGAACTAATGGATTCCTCGAGAGCCGCCCGGTGCTGGAGCTGAACCACGGGCGAGGGGCCTGGACACGTGTCCCGGACACGTGTCCTGGCGGGACCGGTGCCGCAGAGCGCTCAGCTTGGGGTGCCCTGCAGCCCGGCCTCCGCTTTGTCCCTGCAAGGCGGCACCTCCCGGCCGGCCGCATGGATGTGTCCGAGGAGAGCAGGGCAGCTCCTGAGGGGCAGCTCGGGGCTTTACTCCTGCAGCCCCCTTGGGAGCTTTGGTACCTCCTGGTGCCTGAGGAAGCGCTCCGTGTGGGAATGAAGCCAACGGTCGTGTGCCAAGAGAAGCAAGGCCAGCAAGCGGTGTGTGCAAACCTGGGCTGCAAGGATCCCATCTGATCCCCGTTATCTCCCGCTCCCTGGGGCATCTCCTCGCCAAACGAGGTGGCATGGGCCACCCTTGGGACATCCCTTTGGGGGGATCTCCTCTGGGCTGGCACTGGTGCAGCAGAGTGGGGAGTGACAGTCCCCGGCTCTTCCCATCTCCCTCCAGCCACTGGGACCCACCGGGGCCCGAGGACATCCCTGTGGGACACCGGCCCCAGTTGCTGCCCTGAGAAGGGGCCGCGACAAGACTCAGTCCCTCGTCTCTCTCTGGCTTCACTGCCAGAGCGAGTGAAGTCACCACTTGGCCTCCGCCTGCTCTGCCGCTTCCCGGCAGTAAATTTTCCTCTGCTGGTTGTTATCTTTTTATCATCTACATCTCTCTTCCCTTTCTGCTAGTGATCAAGTGCCTGTGCGTGGTGACAGTAAAACGACAAAGAAACCAAAGTCTGATTTTTTTTTTCTTTTTTTTTCCCCACAGATGGGTTGTGGCAGAAGGAGGAAAGTGCAAACGCGGCTCCTCGCGTGTCCTGCGTCTCGGGGTAGGCAAGGGCTGCGAGTCGCCTCGCTTGTGCGGCGGCAGCAACAGAAGGCGGGCGCCTCGGCGAGGGGGGCTGCTCCCCACGCCGCTTCTGCCTCCTTTTCCCCGTCTTTGCCACCACTTTCCCCCGCTCTTTTCCCTCCCGAAGAATAGCGAAGACCTTTTGCAATAGAAGAGCCCCCCATAACTAAAGATTGAAGGATGAGGAATTAATAGGCCTCGCTTTGGAGATGGAAATAAAAATCTCCTGAACAACTGCCTGCTGAAAGCCCCTCCAGCGTGCACTAGCACATCTTGCTTTCTTATATAATGAGTGGTTTTCTTCCTCATTTTCCCCTTCCGTTGGGTTTCTGGAGAGCACAGCAGCCCCCCACGAGCCAAAATATCCCCCCCCAAATCCCAGCTTGCAGCAGGAGCAGCTTAAAGACCTGCTTTAGCCTTTGCAAAATACCTTTTGGCCACTTCTCTTCTTTATTTTGTCGTTGTCCAGTGTAACTTAACCGCTGAAAGGCTCTTCCTATCAGCGGCCCCGCTATGGGGGTGAAGCCAGCCCAAGCAATATAAATAGAGGCTATCTGTAGTTTCCATTTTTTGTCTTTGAGGCGTTTTTGAAGATGCTTTCCAATCTGTTGAGGTTATTCCGTCTCTCTTTTCTCTTGCCTGGCTGACTGGATTTTTCTCATTTCTCAGAAATTCCGATCCGGTTTCGGGGGAGATAGGACAGCAATCCAAGGCGCAATGGAGAGGTTACAAGTCTCCACAATGCTGTGGTTGCCCGAGACGTAATTGCATGTAGCAGACTCATCCTTTCGGCTTCAACCACCTTAAAATGTAGTGTTTCGCTCAATAAGAGTCATCTAAACTGCCTCTGTGGTCACTGCAGGAGACGGCGGCTCCCTTGAGCTCCCAGCCAAGAGCAGGGGTAGCCCAGGGGCCACTCAACTCCCTACAATTCGGTGCCAAACGTGCTCTTTCGCACAGATCCGTAGCCATAGATCCACGTCTGCAAGGACTGATCCTCACCCCTGTGCACATCAGGAGCAATTGCCCTTAAAACGACGCGTTACGCATGGGTAAGACGAGCCCAAGTCAGAGGAGACTCCAGTGCATCTGCTGTATTTGTAATTAATTACCCTGATTAAGGGCTGCTCCCTCGGATCAAACTGCAAAGCTCGGGTTTCATTGCACAGCAAACGTGCGCTTGCCTCCGCTGCCTTGATTATAAGGGGGAAAAACAGTATTTAAGAGTATTTAAAATGAGCCTGCCCCGGCTGGCAGCTCCGCTTCCCTTCCCGGCACGGCAGCACGTGGCCCGGGCAGCGCGGCGCTCCCGGCGGCTCTGGCCATTCCCGGGATTGGGCTCCTGGCCTGGCGTGCCGTCAGTGCCCGCTTGTTGGCCTGCCTGTCTAGGCCAGGCTCATCTAATGGGATATAATCCATGTAATTGAGGCTGGCTCCCCTTCCTGACCGTGCTGCGGGCTTCCCGCGCGCGCTGGGGCCGGCAGCCGCTCCTCTGCACTTCCCGCCCGCCGGCATCTTGCCAGGATATATCCAGTGCTTGCCCGGAGCCCCTTGGGAGTGCCTATGGATGCAGCTCCGAATGAAGCATGGGGAATGCTCAGGCTGGAGCCATGTGTTCCCATAAAGCAGGAGAGCCTGCAGAGTGCCGATCCGGGCTCTCCATGCCGCTCCGGGAGCATCCAGGCCATTTCCCCATGGAGAGGGACCACAGAGGAGCCGCCGGAGCCGGCGCGGAGACGGGGAGCCGCGGGCTGACGGGAGGAAAAAGCGAGCAGGCGAGCATGAGTAATGCAGGCATCAGAAGTGCTTCGTAATTAGTTTATAAAAGCGCTCTTAACAGCAGCAAAGCACTTTCCACTGAAAATCCTTAATAAAAACGCAGCAATATTTGTAAGCACGGTACGTTTTTCCGCTTAATTCCGTTCAACAGCTCCGAGAGGAGCGTGTGAGCAGCCCAGGCCCCCTCCCTGTGAGCCCCCCAGCACCTGGGTCGTTAAAAGCGCTTCAGCTTAGCCTCTCCGCTCCGGATCTCCCTGGTGGAAACGGCGCTCGTTGGAGGTGGTTTTAGGCCCTTTGACCAGCCTTGCTGCTCGGGCAGCAGCTGGAAGTAGCTGTGGTGGCCCTGCCTGCAGGAGCACTTGGACGTTCCCCTGACCTCCTGGTGGGTTAAGGACACTTTTGTGTTTGTGTTTCGTGTTTGTGGTCGCCTCCGTGGAGCGATGCCAGCATGGGGAGGAGCAGCAGCACGGAGACGTGGTCGCGAGGAGAGGTCCCGCTACGAGCAGTTGGGTTACAGGAGGGAAATGCAGGAACGAAATCCACTGGGCACTCGTGGAGATGGTTCACAGGCCGTGTGAGCATCCCGGCCAGGCTGGAGTTACCTGGAAATGAGACGCTCGGAGAAGGAGGTGTCCAGAGGGCCGGGATTGCTCCCCTCCAGCTTCTCTCCCTGTGCTTTGCTTGGGAAGAGCTCAATCTGGACGCTGCGTGGAAGCTTAACAGAAGCCAAGCGCTGGCCTTGGAGGTGGCCGGTGTCCCAGCGCGAGGAGGCCGGCGCTCCATCGGCCCGTGTGATCGAGGGCCAGCGCGCGGAGGCGGCCGGGCGCGCGGCGCGGACGGGCCGGGGCGCGCGCCAGACCGCCCGTGCGTGGGCAGCCGTGGCTCCGGTGGCTCCTTTCAAGACCCAAAGCCCGGTTTGGTGCTTTGGAAAGGAAGCAGATGCTCTGTGGTGCCTCTGGGTGGGAGACTCCTCCTGACCGTGAGACTCTCCCAGTTCATGTCCCAGTTCACCGCTCGTTTGCTTGACCCGAAGGAACGCAAGGAAGCTTTCTCCTCACAAGGCATGAAGGGCTTGGCCCAAGGTTTTTTAACTAGAAAACCCTCATGTGTTTATATTCATTTCACATTTGGCAAAAACAATTCCCTGGCCGTCTCCTAGGGGCTTCTTTACTTGTTTGCAACATTTGATTTATTAAGGATTAGCTCCAGTAGGAGGAAGCTCGGTTAGAGGCCTGGATGAAGCCAAGCAGGGCTTAATTTGGAGAGAGGCAAATATTTCCCGACGATTTGCTTACTCCATTTGTTCTCTTCATTTGCCGTTTGCAGATTGGCCGTGGGCAGATTGCAATGTGCCCCGATTGTACGTGTTATTAGAAGTCACTGGCGTGTCCAATAATCCTGGGCTCCGTGGCCCGGGGTGGTCTCGGCGCCGCGGGGCCGGTGACGGGCCCGTTTGCACGTTGGCTGCACCAGGAGCTGGGCTCGTTGCGGGCCGGGGGCTGAAGCTGCACGTGGCCCGGCCGAGGGGCAGCCCCACGAGGACACGAGCGGACGTGCTCCCCCGGCATGCCCCATCCAGGAGGTTACCCGTGTGTTTTTATGCTTGGTTTTACCCCAAACCCATGATTTGGGCTGCTGGTTGTCCTGGAGCGGGGCCCGGAGCTTCGGAGGCGAAAGGGCCGCCCGTGCAGCGAGATCAGGTCCGTGCTGGAGGACGGGGTGTCCCCCTGCTTGCTCAGCACCGCTTCAGACACGTGGACAAACACGGGGGGCAGCCCCACATAGAGGAAGCAACGGCTCTGCCTTCTGCGTCCCTGCTTTCCCCGGGGAGGCCGGAGCCGAGCGGCACGTGATGGATGCTGGATGCTGGATGCTGGCCGGGCCGCGGGTGCTGCGGCCGGTGTCAGGGTAATGCAGGGTCACCACGCTGGCCGCGTGCGGCCGGCCCAGCGCCGCTCCGGCACGGGCAGGATTTTCATCCGTGGCCATTCGGCTCCTGGTTCTCAGCCAGGTTTAGGCATGGAAAGGAGGGAAGCGGAAGCTGTCCGGGCCGTGGACGCCACCCAAATCTTGTTGGAGCTTTGCAGAAGAGGGTCGGGTTGCTGCCCACGTGCTCGCTGAGGGGCCCTGACGGTCCTTCATGGACCTCGCGTTGATTTGACGTTGATTTTTGGGTCATACTTGGCATGTGCAGGTACGACTTCATCGAGATCCGCGACGGCGACAGCGAGGCGGCCGACCTGCTGGGCAAGCACTGCGGCAACATCGCGCCGCCCACCATCGTCTCCTCGGGCCCCGCGCTCTACATCAAGTTCACCTCGGACTACGCGCGGCAGGGCGCCGGCTTCTCCCTGCGCTACGAGATCTACAAGACGGGTGAGCGCTGCCGGCCGCGCCGGCTCTCGGGACGCGCTTTCCCTGGCGCTCCCGGCGAGTTATCTGCAGGGAAGGGCTCCTGTTTCCCTGCTGCCGAGTCCTTTGGAGCGGGTGCCTGTGTAAGCGTGGGGAGGATGAGGGAGAGCCGTTCCGAGCGCCCTCTCTCCGTGCAAGCAGGGAGGCCCCGTGGGGCCGGCACGGACAAGCGGGCACTTTGTGAATGGGCTGCACACCAGAAAGGAGCCTCTGTTCCCCTCACCCCGAGGCCACAGCGGCCCCCGCGCCCCTCGTGCCCTCCCACAGAGCCCTGTGCCCAAGGGGAGACTGAGGCACTGTCAGCAAGGGGCCTGTAGGTGGCCGAGCCCCATTGCGGGTGCCCCACGGCGTGCCCTGCGTCCACAGGCTCCGAGGATTGCTCCCGAAACTTCACGGGCTCCAATGGCACCATCGAGTCCCCGGGCTTCCCGGACAAGTACCCGCACAACCTGGACTGCGTGTTTACCATCGTGGCCAAGCCGCGCACCGAGATCCTCCTGCACTTCCTCCTCTTCGACCTGGAGCACGACCCGCTGCAGGCCGGCGAGGGCGACTGCAAGTACGACTGGCTCGACATCTGGGACGGCATCCCGCAAGGTGAGGCGCCCCGCGCCGCTGCCCCAAAACCGGCCCGTTTGCCCCCAAAAGCCGGCCCGCCCAGGCTTTACCGCCGCTGCTCCTTCCCTTGCAGTTGGCCCCCTCATCGGCAGGTACTGCGGCACCAGGATGCCCTCGGACATCCGCTCCACCACGGGCGTCCTCTCGCTCACCTTCCACACGGACCTGGCGGTGGCCAAGGACGGCTTCTCGGCGCACTACGAGCTGCTCCCGCAGGAGGTGCCCGAAAGTAAGTGGGAAAGGCCGTTTCCGAATCCCTTTGCTCCCGCAGGAAGTTTTTGGGCACGTGCTCCGCCTAAGGGCTGATGTGAGTGAAGGCTACAGCCCAACATGTGCAGCACTAGCACTCAAGAACATGTAAAAACCCTCCTTCCCTCCGGTTTCCCCAAAACACAGCCCAGGACACCCAAGATGAGAGGGGGACGGAGGTAGGGGCGTCTCTGCTGAGGCCACGTGAGTTGGGGACACACACTAGCTCTTTCTTGCTACATCTTGCCTTGCTTGGATCCTCTTTCTATTCCTTTTTTTACAAAAAGTCTGGGAAATAAAAGGCTAATGGGACATAAAGCTTGAGAAATCAGGCGAAGGAGCTGGGCCTGTTTTGATTTAGCTGGTGTAAATTGAAATTTTAATGACACCACTGAGATCTTAGCTTGGCCCATCACTTCCAGCCCAGAGTTGACTCGGCCGCACTAAAAGCGCCGGCAGTTTGGTGGAGCTCCACGAGTTTATGGCCCACACGGTGTTTCCTATCAGTGTTTTCTTTGTTACTGTTTTTACGGGACAGCTGCCATGAAGTGTGTGAGATGTGCAAGGAGATTGAGCTAATTGTGACTTGCAAAAGCCTTAGAGATGAGGAAACTCGAATAAAAGCGTGCCAGATTCTTTCATCAAAGGGTCTGATGTCCTCTGTGCTGATGCCCATTCCTTGCCCTGTCGGTGCTTGTGTTTCACCTCCTGCCTCCACAGAGACAGGGGACCCCATGGCCAGGGGTCTCGGTGCAGCTTGGTGTGCCTGGATGGGAGGAGCGGGCAGAGCTGTGTGCTAAAACCGCACAGAGGAGGAGGAGGAGGTGGAGAAAGATCTGGGCCTCCTTAGCTTGCAAAGGGCCGTCCCGATATAAAGCGAGGAGCAGCGTTGCGGGCCGCCTCGCAGCTGAGCTCCGCGCGTGTCCGCTGCAGACTTCCAGTGCAACGCGCCGCTGGGCATGGAGTCGGGGCGCATCTCGGACGCGCAGATCAGCGCCTCCTCCACCTACTCGGACGGGCACTGGACGCCGCAGCAGAGCCGCCTCAACAGCGACGACAACGGCTGGACGCCCAACGTGGACAGCAACAAGGAGTACCTGCAGGTACGCGCGCCCAGAGCCTCCAGGAGGCCCCTGGAAAACCGGCTGGAATGGCGTGGGCGTCGCGCTGGGGGGATGAGGAGCCGGTTTGATCTGTGCTCGTGGTCCACAGGGGTCTCGGGCAGCGTCACATCACGGCGAGACGCGGCCCCGCAAAGGGCACCGAGGAGGGGAGGTGGCCAAATGTCACTGCCTCGAGCACTTGTCTCATTCTCCATTCATGGTGGCGCGGCCGAGCCGGCCCCGCTGACCTTTCTCAACCCACGTTGTGAGGAAAAGGAGAAAGGGAAAGCCGGGAAGTGCCACACTTGCTAATTGGACATGGTGCTTTTATTTTACATGGAAAAAGCCGGCCTCTGTCCTGCTTTGCGGGACGCGAGAGTCCAGCCTCTGTGCAGATCCTGGTGGGAGGCAGGGGGAAGGTCCTTAATCCTACCCACAAGTGTCCTGTGGAAATCAGCTCGGGCTTTTGTGCCCATTAAGCCCAGGTCTTTGTACCCAGGTCTTTTGATGGAGCGAGACAGGCTGAATTTGCTCCTTGTTTCAAGGTGGAGGGAGGACCGGCCGGGGCTGCCAGGTGGTCACGGCCCCCTCTCGTGTCCCTCTCTCCCTGGCAAGGTGGACCTGCAGTTCCTGACGGTGCTCACGGCCGTGGCCACGCAGGGAGCCATCTCCAGAGAGACGCAGAACGGCTACTACGTGCGCACCTACAAGCTGGAGGTCAGCACCAACGGGGAGGACTGGATGATGTACCGGCATGGCAAGAACCACAAGGTAAGGGCCCTCCTGCGCGCCCCGCCGTGAGCCCTGCAGAAAAGAGCTGGGGTTTCGGGAGGATTTAGTCAGTGAGGGACCCTTTTCTGGATGAGGGACCACGAGGATGCTCTGAGCAGAAATGTCCTTTCCCTTCTGCGCGCTGTTCCTTGGAAAACCTGGCTGCTGCCGCCTCTTTCATGGTGGCGAGAGTGTGTTTGCTGACTGCAAATGAAGGAGAAAAGGCTTTCACGGCCGGTGCTTTGCTGCACAGGATTCATCGAGCTTTTATGGCCGTCACCCCCATCCGCATGCTGGGTTAGCAATCACAAAACCCCACGAAGCGGCAGCGCGGGAGCTATCGAGGCCTGGAAATGAAAGGGCACGAATCCTGCGGGGGGATCGCGCCACCCCAGCGAGCCAAATGAGCAATAAATAACGAGGAGCAATTGGGGCTGCCAGAGGCGCCGGCTCCGCGCTGGCTGGCGCGGCAGGCAGGGATGCAGCGAGACCTTGGCGCTGGCGCATGCGATTCCTGCCCGTGCGCAGCCCTCGGGTATAAATAATACATATATATTTATATACGTGTAAGTGTATATATATATGCGTGTGTATATATATATGTGTGTGTGTGTGTGCGCGCACACGTGGGCCCATCTGCACAGTGCCCAATATAATTTCTCTTCCACCTCCTTACCCCCAGATTTAATAAATCCAGCAGCGTCCGCCCGCCTCTTGTGCCAGGAGCCTCTCGCCATCGACCGTGGCCTGTTTTGCACCTTCCCTCAGCTGACAGGGCAAATAATCCCCCCTGCTTTTCTCCTTCACGCTTCCCCGTCTAAATCCCAAAGCCCTAATCCCGTTAACGAGCTCTCGTCCCGTGCTCGTAAACCCAATGGGGCCGGCGCAACGCCTGCACCCGTCCCTGCCCTGCTCCCCATGGAATCACAGAGCAGCCAGGCAAGGCTCTGAAGAGGTAAATCAGGAGGGAGCTACACCTTGGGGTCACGTTTTCAGCCCGGGCAGTGGCTCCGTGCCCCATGGCGCGTGCGTTCACCCCCCAGTGCTCCCCTCTCCATCTCCTTGTGCCTCTCCATCTCCTCATGCCTCTCCATCTCCTCGTGCCTCTCCGTCTCCTCACCTCCCAGCCAGGGCTCTCTCATTTTTTTTCTTTCCCCCCTGCTGGTGTAAATTACTGTGACTTCTTGTACTTCGGCGGAGGCATGTTGATTTACACCGCTCCAAGACTTGGCTCGAAATACGTGCTGAGTGGGATGGAAAGCAGAGAGGCTGGAGGAATAGCAGTGTGCTATTTTGGTAAGGGGGAAGAAAGCGCTGCTTTCTTGGCGCTCCCCACTTCACACGTTTTCCTGCTAGCGCTTCCCATGCCGCGAGTGCTAATTTGAGGCAGGAGGCAGAGCCTGTGGAAGTCAACGGGGCTCTTTCCACCGTCCTCCCTGGGTCTGGAATCAGTGTTTTTGGTGCGTAAGACACGTTCAGCCAAGGACACTGGTTACCTGCCTGCTTTCCCTCTGGGGAAAAGACCTTACAGACAAAATATCCATGAGGAGCCCATTTCCAAGGGCACCTGCCTTGGGAGGGCCCATCACACTGTGCTGACCTGGGTCCCAGACCATGACTTGCTGTGATCTCTTGTGCTCCCCAGAAATGACGTTGCTTGGGGCAGATGCTGCCAGTGCAGCTCATATGGGACCTGGTGTCGCTTCTGCCCTGTGGACCGTGATCCAGATGGGTTCTTCAGGCTTGCCCAGCTGGTTGAACACCATCCAGCCTGAGGACATCACAGGGCCCCAAGTCTAAAGCAGCTCAGAGGCTCTTCTTGGAGGCAGGTAGTGGGGATTGAGGTTGTGTGAGAGAGGCTTGCAGCAATGCATTTGCTAGCGATGAAGTTTTTGGGCTTGGTCCTGGCTCTGCTTTCTATCAAGCTCAACTTTGCAGAAGTCAGCAGTGAGCCACATCATGGGTGTAAATTTGGATCCTGGCCCCTGATGCTTGTATGTGCTAAGCGAGCTGAAAAAGAACAAAACGGGAAACATGTTAAACCGAAAAGAGCAGCAACCCTCATCAGGGGCTGTTAAACATGCCGGTCCATATGCAACCTTTGGCTCGTGGAGCCTTCAAACTGCTGCCTGCGGGAAGCGCAGGAGTTTTGCCAAGGGAAGGAGCTCCCTAGACTTTCTGCACCCGGCCGCTTGCTCGGGGCCACCTCCAGAGGGACAGAGGGACCTTCAGGCTGACCTGACGTGGGGCTGCCGGCGCCAAAATAGTTGCCTGGGCTCAGCGAAACATTTCCTGTCCTCCGGTGTTGGGTTCGGGGCGAGGTGTTGGGTGTCAGGCGCCGCGTTGACATGGAGCTGGAGTGCGGAAACGTATCCGTGCGTGTGCGCGCGCGTGCGGGCAGCGCCCGCGGGCACCGCTCTCCTTAGAGCCCTCCTGCCCCGGAGAAGGGCGCTTGGTGTCTGCCCAGCAAGGGAAAGGACGGGGAGCGGGGTCAGGGAGGATACAATAGGATATTAAAAGCACATAAAGCACGCTGTGCTGCTAAACAGTAGCGGCGTGATGTATGTCCTCCACATGAGCATCTCTGCTCCGAATCCCACAGATGGGGCGGATTCACCGGCAGTGCCGCGGGGCTGCTCCTCCTGCCCAGCGGGAATGCTGCCTTTCCATTCCTGTTCCGTTCCCAGGGTTGGCCGTGGCGCGCAGGAATGCTGGGGGGCCCTGAAAACTGCACCCACATGGGCATTTTTCTCTTCCCCTCTTTATTTTTTCCCAACCTCTGGCTCCGCAGGCTAGATCAGAAACACGAGTGCCCAGGCCTTGTCCGGGCTGCTAAAATCCTGGGAGGGAAGGGTGGCTCTGAGGTCCATCTGGTTATTGATCGCGGCCATCTGGTGAGGCAGCAGCCTGCTCCTCTCACGTCGGATCAGGAGCGACTCCGAGAGGCTCCCGGGCGCGGGGAGCATCCCGGTCCGGGGATGGGTTTGGCGACCCATCCTGTCGCCACGCGCAGCTGGGAGAGGCCGTGACCCCCCTCTGCCCCCTTGCAGACGTTCCAGGCCAACGAGGACGCCACGGAAGTGGTGCTCAACAAGATCCACAGCCCCGTGCTCACCCGCTTCGTGCGCATCCGGCCCCAGAGCTGGCACAACGGCATCGCCCTGCGCCTGGAGCTCTACGGCTGCCGCATCACCGGTGAGCGACCGTGCCCCATACCAGGGCACGTGGGCGCCCGTGCCCCACGCCCCAGGGTGCTCATCCTGGGAGAAACCCCCGGGGGACGTTCACACTCTCTCCGTGTCCGCAGATTCGCCCTGCTCCAACCTGCTGGGAATGCTCTCCGGCCTCATCCCTGACGCGCAGATCTCGGCCTCGTCCATCCGGAGCTACGACTGGTCGCCCAGCATGGCCCGCCTCGTGAGCAGCCGCTCCGGCTGGTTCCCCCGCGTCCCCCAAGCGCAGCCCGGCGAGGAGTGGCTGCAGGTGGACCTGGGCGTCCCCAGGAACGTGCGGGGCGTCATCATCCAGGGGGCTCGCGGGGGCGACAGCGTGAGCGCCACCGAGGCGCGCTCCTTCGTCAAGAAGTTCAAGGTGGCCTACAGCATGAACGGGAAGGACTGGGACTTCATCCAGGACCCCAAAACGATGCAAGCCAAGGTAGGCACCGCCCGGGGCAGCAGGAGGGCTCCAAGGGGATGTGTTTCTGGCTGTCTCCCTCATGGGGTCTTGAGGAGTCCTCTCCTTCCAGAGGAATGGGAATTTAGACTCTGAATTTGGGCTATCACCATGAAACCCACTTTGGATGGGGAGTTCACCCTCCTAAGCCATCCTAGAGGCTGTAGGCTCCATCTTGCCTCAGGGTGGGCAGTTTCATTTCTCACTACGGACCAAAAGGTCCAGCTTTCCCCCTCCCCACGCTTGGTGCAATGGGCAGTGGCCTCTCATGCAGGACTGGGAGCGTCACCTGCAGACCGTGGGCCCCCTCATAGGTGCTGGGTGTTGTTCAGCACGAGCTGAAAACCGAGCTGAGGGAGAACACACATTGCTGCTGCTGCTTGCACCTCTGAGGCAGGAGGATGAGTCACGACTTCTTGGGAAATTTTGGCTATTTTGGACCCTTTTTTTTCCCACCAGTGCACCCTGCTAATTCCCGGTGCTTTCCCCAAAGCCTTTCCTGTGCTTTCTCCAAAGCTGCTGCTGATCTTCCTGCCAAGCAGCACAGGAGCAGCAGGGAGCTCAAGGAACGACCGAGTTCGCTGCTGCTGCTGCATGTTTGGTCTTCATATGACCACATCTTCTCCTAAGATTTGGGCGGACTTTAGGTGTTCCCAGTCAAACCCACATGTCCTAGGAGACCTGCTGCTGCCTGCTGCCCTGCTCACCAGCTTTTTGCCCGCTCCCTCCTGCAGCTTTTCGAGGGCAACATCCACTACGACATCCCCGAGGTGCGGAGGTTCGAGCCGGTCCCCGCGCAGTACGTCCGCGTGCACCCGGAGAGGTGGTCGCCCGCGGGAATCGGGATGCGCCTGGAAGTGCTGGGATGCGACTGGACAGGTAGGAGCCTCCTCCGCTCCGCTCCCAGCATGGGCTGGGGCTGTTCTGCCTGTGTCGGCTTCTGCCCACATGTTTTTCACCATTTATTTTATCGCAGAGGTGGAAAATGTCTCACCTGCCCCTTCTCCCAGTGCCGCCTGGTTGCTTCATAGTTTCATCCCCAAAAGCCAAAAACGTGCCCAACAGCTCATTCAGTTTCACCTTAGCCTTTCAGCAGCAGGGGCTAGTTGTCCTTTAGTTTTGTTGGTGTTTTTCTTATTTTAATAATCTACTTAAACCTGAATCTGGTCTCCAGATGGCAGTGAAAAAGAGGTATGATTTCCATTTTTAAACACGCATCTGTAGAAGGCATTTCCTTCTAAAAACTCTGCTTCTAGGAAGCCTAAAGAACACAGAGGTTTTCCCTTTAGTGGAGTCTCTGCTTCCCTCCTGCCCCTGTGACGTGCTGTGAGAGGCATCACCAGCGTGTGACAGCACAAAATGCGCAGAGATGCAGTTGTCCGCAACGCTCCGTCACCCTTGAGGTGGCCCGTGTGGCTTCACCACGTTGTAGAGAGCACCTACACCTCAGAGAGCATTTATAATATCAGCCTCGAGCGTCTCGAGACAAGCCAAGCAGGTAAATAACCGCAGCAACGAAGGCCAGTAGCCCAAAACTCATGAAACAACCGGTTGGCAGCGGGCTCCCTTCAAAGACCTGCCAGCCGTCCCCTCTGCGGAGCGGAGATTGATGAGCACTCGCTCGCAGCTGTTTTCCTCCCCTTTGAAGTCCCCCACATCTGGTTCCAATTGCTCCGCGGCTCCGCGTCCCGAGCGGCAGCTACCACCAGTTGCACGGCCGCTTGCTGGGAGCAGGGAGCCAGGGAGGCCGCTCGTCTTGCACTTTCCTTTTTGCACCCTGCGCCGTCCCCCCTGCTATTTCCATTATCCCTCCGAGCTGTCTTGGTGCAGCCCTGCCATGGCAACTGCTTTTCCAGGATAGATTTCCGAGGCTTGTCCGGGGCAGGGTAGCACCGCTGATTTACATCCGCTCAGCATCTGCGTCCCGTATGGGACTCGGCTTTCAAGGTCCTTCCACACTGTCAAATGCCAGCAATAAATCTCAATATACAAGAACAACAACCCAGAAAAAAAAAACGTGCCAGCTCCAAATAACTTGCAGCTTTTGATATGCTGCCTTCACCTGCTGCTTTTTTTTTTTTTCCTCTTTTATCATCTTTTCTTTTTTATGACCTTTTTCTGTGCCTGGCTGCTTGCAATTTGCTTCTTGGTTGCATTTGGAGTTTTATGGGGTTGTAACAAATTTGAACTTACAAATTAAAAGGCTTTGAGGTTATTTGGTATTTTACCATGAACAGAAGACAGCTGCTGGGGGAAAAAAAGAAAAAGAAAGAAAGAAAAAGAAAGAAAGAAAGAAAAAGAAAGAAACCGTGAGAGTTAATGTGCAGCATGTTTAATAACAGGAAACTAAAAGAGGGGAAAAGGAGCCTATGGAAAATATTTGATGCATTTAGCCATTTCCTTCTGCTTCTGGCTTTATTAAATGATATCCTGAAGGGTGTCGACACAGAAGCACAAGTCACCGAGCAAAGCTCTTTAGGAGTGGAAAGCTCAAAGCCGGGTGCTGCACCCAGCTAAGGCACCCGCAGAAGGGGAGCAGGTTGGAGCCTCCTGCCGCTGGCTGCTGATCTTAACATCCCTCTCTTTCTTCCTTACATTACCCCGACTCCGACTTGGAGGGTGTTTCACACGGGCCGTGTTGGAGAGAGAGGGAACTTGGACGGAGTCGTGCTTAGACGCGTATTCGGGAGCATGCAGCGTGAAACCAGATGCTGTCTGTGGCCGAGCCAGCGCGGGCTGGGATCTCTCTGGGTCCGTCCTGTCCGTGGTTACGTCATCTGTGGGTTGGAGGGACTTGTTCCGTAAATTGGCTCCATTAGTGGGAACGTTGTCTCTGTTTTTCTTGCCTATCATCTGCCTGGAGGAGACAAGAGGATGTGTTGCCTGTGATCTCTGCTGTCCGACACTGATAGCCAAGTGGATTGACAACACCGGTGATTAAGGAATAGATTAGGGATAGATTAAGGAATTAGGGACAAGAAGGAGGCCGTGTGTCTGCAGGAGCGCCCCAGTGGGGACCCTAAATCAAAGGAGTCCCGTGCAGAAAAGGCAGTTCACAGGGAGTTCAGGCCCTGCTGCCACGGGGTGTTCTTGTGCTATCTCTTCCAGCCCGTGTACGAACACGAGCAAAGCTCTACGCCTGCTTTCCTCCCACGTGGGCTTGTACTTTTTGTAGCCTCTATCCCAAAGGCTCCCTTGGCTCCATGTCTTTCAGACGCGAAGGCCACGGCGGAGACGCTGGTGCCCACCCTGAGCAGCGAGCTGACCCCGACCCCGTACCCGACGGACGCCGAGGCCACGGAGTGCGGCGAGAGCTGTGCCGAAGAGGACGGTACGTATCGGAGCAGCTCATCTGCAGCTCCGTAAGCGACGGCTTGAGAGCCAGGCAAACGCTCTTATCTTCCCATTTGCTCCTATACGTGGGGGCTGATTCCTGGAAAGCTTTGAGTAATGTCGTTAGCGATAGGCCAAGCTCAGAAAAAAAAAAAAAAGCCCCCGGTGAAGATCTGATAAGTGATATCAAGGCAGGATGCGAGAGCGGGAGATAGCGGCTAATGCGGTGCCTGGGGTACAGGGCTTGAAGAGCTGCTCCCCCCGCTCCCTTATGTGACCCGAAGCAAGTCACTTAGGGCCTCGTGTGGCGTCCCCTCCATACCAGCCCCCCCAGCTCAGTGTCATCAATTTGGGGGGTGATTCGGGACAGAGATGGAGGCCCCCGAGCGTGCAGGGCTCCTTCCATGGAGGAAAGGGCTCGACAGTGAATCACGACATGCAGAGAGGTCGGGTGACCCCAGGACAACCTACACCCTGGTGGGGACATCCCCCCAACTGGCACCTGCTTGAGAGCTTAGGAGGACAGGAAAGGGATCTCTGGACGGTGACTCGTCCCCGTAGTTCCCGAGGCACTTGGGAAGCTCATTGGGAACAATGAGGGTGTTCCCAGGAGCACCGGGTTTATGGAAAGGGAGGAGAAACAGTGCTGCTCTCGGAGGGCAGTGAGGGCCCCTGTGCTCCACATTGTTTTGTTTCCAAGAGTCGGGAAGCCCTCGGCCCCTCGCAGCGCCGTCCCCCGTGCCTATCGCTTGAGTCACTCGCCGCCTCCCGGCCTCCGCTTTGGCTCGCTGTGATTGAAAACTTCCTCTTTGCACAAGAAAAAAAAGTATGGCCTAAAACTGGTGCGTGTGACGTGTGCCCAGGGCTCGGGCCGTCCCAGCCCGTCCTGCGGCTCCGTGTCTCGCCCGGGCTGCCCGGCCAAGGGCGCCAGCCGGGGCCTCGCTGCTGCCCGCGGACGAGCCGCTCGGCAGGACGCTCCCCGCGAGCTCCTCAAGCTGTTCACACGGGGGAATTAGCTCCTGATGCTCACCAGAGAGGTTGGATGGCTAGTCCAAAGGTGCCTCCGCAGCAGAGCTGGAAACAGAGACCATCCCACAGCCCTCACATGAGACCCACGGTGTCCCCACGTGTCCCCGGTGACATTTCCATGTGAAGGTGGCAAGCAGTGAGTGACAGCCGCCGCGTTGACAGACTGGCGCCAGCGGTGAGATCCGTCACTCTGCCTTGCTGGAGCACTTGAGCTTCTCCTTTTGGAGCCAGGGAAGGGACCGCCGCGCGCAGGGGCGCTCCGGAAGCGCCTCTTCCTTGACATTTAAGAAGGCATTTAATATCAGCCTGCCCTGGGGCACGGAGGGAAGGTGCTGATTAGAGTCTGGAAGCACTTGGGGCGTGTGTATGTGCTTGTGTTGGTGCCCCAGCCGCAGGAGCGGAGCGTGAGCATTTGGATGGTGCAGAACTCAAGGCTGATCCCTGGAGTTGACGAAATATGAGACAGGTTAAAAGCGTCAAGTGTGAGGGAGGTTTCCTTCTTTCTGCTGTAGTTACAGCTTGCCACCTATTTTAGTTTCAGGTTGCTTTTTAATAGCACCTCCTCATGGACATCCCATTTTTTTTATCCAACCTCACTTTTGCCTGTTATTTCTTTCTCTTCAAGATTTCCACCTGCCCGAAAACTTCAACTGCAATTTTGATCTCCCTGAGGACCTCTGTGGTTGGTCACACGACTTGGACACGGGCTACACGTGGTCTTTTCAGCCTGCAAGCACCCAGATGGGCAGCGCCGACCCGAGCGCCGAGGCCGTGCCTGGTAAGATAATTAATAGCATATAGCAAATTAGGGAATGGGCTGATGGGCTTTCTCTGTGTGAGAGTGTCTGACAGTTGTGTAGCTCTTGAGAAGGCTGTGCAGGCGTTAGTGTTGTCCTCTATGGAGATTTCAGGTGTTTTGCTTTATTGGTTCACCTCCTATTTATAGGTCTGTGACTTTTGGCACTAACTCTCCCGCTGAGATGGCCTTGAGTCAGACTCTGGGCTGTGAATCCCCCGTGAGCACGTGGGCTCACCTGGTCTTTGTTCCACATCCTGAGCCAAGTGTCCTCTGTTGGACCCCGTGTTTTTTCCGCAGATCCCATTTCCTCTCTTGTGAGAGATGCCCTTCTTCCTCCCACATGTTTGCTCCAATGGCCTCTAGCGCTGACTTCAGCTGTGGTGCATCCTGGCCTGGGCTTCAGCCTCCTCCTCAGGCAGGACGAGTTAATCCCTAAGAACGCAGCCATCCGCCAGCTTCTCGGGGCTCAGCTGCCCGTTCGCCCTCACTCTGCTTCGGAAGCAGAACATGAACAGCAGAACAATCCGTGCCGGCCTTCCCGGTGATGCGCCGGAATCCCTCGGAGCTGAGCCTGCCTCCTCCCCTGCTAGAGCAACCCCTTTAGCTCCTTAGGGTCTTGGGAGTTCACCCCCGGCCTTCCCCTTGCCCTGGCTGACTTCCCACGCCTGTAGGCAGTGCTGAGGAGGAAAATATATATTCCCGAAACATACGGGAAGAGGGGAACCTGCCGCGCCGCAGCCCGCACGGGGCAAACCCCTTGGCGGGACACGGGGCCCCGCGAGGCACAGAAGCATCTTCACATTTCAAGTGTTTATCTCTGCAGCATTCGAGTGCCTTGGCAGATTAATATCTGGAGCCTTTGGGCTGCGGGAGAGGACACTTGCTGCCAGCCCTGGGCTTAATAACCCTCCCCACCCCCTGCGCCACAATAAGGTTTAATTAATATAAGCCTCCTGCAAGCGGGATAAAAATTACTTATTTTTATAACTCCGAGGCGATTTTTCATTTCATTTCCTCTCCCCCGAGTCTCCCTACAATTTTAGTTGGCTGTGGTGGCTCGGAAGGCTCCTGAACGTGAGCAAGGACACGCGCCCGGCCCCACATGGGGACAGCAAGGGGGCTAGCGGTCAAGGGCAGCACTGGAAAGTGCAGAGGGAAGCGGCTGTTTAAGTGACTATTTGCTCTTTCCCTGAAGTTTTTCCCCCCAGTTTTGGGAGCAGGGAATCGTGTGGCACCTTTAAGGGCTGCCCGGGCCGCGTCTCTGCCTCTTTGGAAAGTGGCAAAACAGAATTAAAATAGAATGAAAATGGATAAAAAATAGCCAGGCAGGCAAGGAGGAGCCCTGGCGCAGAGTGCATGGGGGAAATGACCGTGGTGAAATATCTCCCGCGAGGCGCTGGATTCGGAAAGCCTGCTGGGAGACGGGCCTGGATTCCTGGGCTCTGTCCCCATTCCGCTTCGCGATCCCGCCCCGGCCTTGGCTGCAGAGCTCCTTCCCCGGGCTCACAAGACGCCCACCGCTCTCCTGCCACTATTTTTACTTCCAAGATACTCTTGCAGGCAGCTTTTTTTAGCGCGGTGTTCCGTGGGCGCTCGGCACCGGGATGAGCTCCACGTCCTCCCCTCTGGGGACCCCCTTGGGGAACAAGGAGCCAGGGTGGCCAGAAACCCGGCACAGCTCCAGCTGTCACCCTGTCCTTTGCAAGCCTGAAAAATACCCTTCTCCCTTGCCCTGTGAGGGAGACTGCCAGGATTTTTCCCTCTGGATTTGCAGACCTTTCCCAGCTGGGAGAAGGCTCCCCATAGCTGAGGCTCACGAGTTTCAAGGAGCAGCATATTCAGGATTCAGGGATGCTGCACCCCTTGGATCTTTGCCATTGCGAGCAAGGCAGAGGCCTTAGGGAAAGTGACCCTGGTTGGATAAGTTGGGCACCTCGACTCCCAGCGATCCTTGAATGTCACCAAGGCTCTTGTTCCTCGGGAGTGAAGACCCAGCTGGAGCGGTGCCGGCCTCGCTCCAGGGCTCTGCGCCCACGAGCCGTGCGGAAGGGCTGGCCGAGGTGCTTTGCACCCTCTTGTCCCCTCCTTTTCCCTCAGCAGCACTAGGAAAATCCTGCATGCTCCTGCTGGAGCAGCGCGGACGGGAGCTGAGGCTTCCAGAGATGCCAGGGCTTGCGGGGCTGCAGGGAAACGTTCTTTGTTCCGGAGTGTTTCCAGCCGGGAATGTTTGCCAGGCTCTGAAGTTTCGTAAGAGCTTCTTGTACAAGGAAAACAAACATTGAGCTGTCTTTAAGCTTGACTCTTCACTATCCTTGTTTTTCCCATGGGATCATTAACAGAGAGAGGGTGGGGTGTTTTGGGTTTTTTTTTTTATTTTTTTTTTCTGCTGCGATTCATGAGAACATCTGCCCTCAATCCCGGCCTCCTGGCTGGGGTGGATGGGGCCCATCGCACACAGCCAGCTAAGTGTCCAGCTTGAATCGGTGGCAGTCTCGTTTGCTCACAGATCACGAGCTGGCTCCTGCATCAGGCAACAGCCCCAGTGACCCTCTCGGGCAGTTTACTTTTTTCTTTTAACCTTTTTAACTTCTTTCAAACTTTTTTCCTGCCCACGTTTGTTGGCATGAGGTGGTGAACGGGCCAGGTGCTCCTCGTAGGTGCTGGGAAGCGCTGCCCGTCCTCACGCGGCCGTACAGGGACAGGTTTGTCCTTCACGCCGCCAGGTCCGCGCCGGCTCGTGTGGGATGGACGCGCTCCACCACGCTTCCAATGTGGATCCGAGGAGCGGAGAGCTAGGTCCTAACTGCAGCTGCTCATCAGCTTGTCCCCATCATGTCCCCTTTGCCTTGATGCTCTCTGGTCCTGTCACTGGTCCCCGGTGGGGCTGGCGATGCCCACAGGGGGACGCTTCTCCCTCACCCCCCAGAAGCGCCATCCACGGTGACCAGCTGAGCATCCAGGCGAGATGCTCCAAGCGAACGGCCACCCAAAGTGACATAATTCTTATTTTCTCTCTCTCTTTCCTCCCTTGCCGGCCGCGGCGGAGCAGAAGGCTGGCGCTTCCTGCAGCTGCGGAGCGGCGGGCGGCGGGAGGGCCGGCGCGCGCGGCTCGTGAGCCCCGCCGTGCTGCTGCCGCGCAGCGCCGCCTGCATGCTCTTCCGCTACCAGGCGTGGGGCGGCGGCGCGGCGCTGCGCGTGTGGCGCCGCGCCGCCCACGACACCAAGGCGCTCTGGGTCATCGCCGAGGACCAGGGCGACGAGTGGCGCGAGGGGCGCATCATCCTGCCCAGCTACGAGGGCGAGTACCGGGTGAGTAGCGCCGCGGCGGCCCGTCCGCAGCGCCGTGTGCTCCTCAAGCCTCCCCCGTTGTGAATGGTTCTTCCTTCTGTTTTCCCTCGTGTTTGGCTCCGTGCGTTTGCTGCCCGCTGCCGTGAGGCCAATGGGTGACGTTTCCCTTCTGCTCCCCCGCAGATTGTGTTCGAGGGCTTCATCCGCAGCGGCCACCCGGGACAGCTCGCCCTGGATGACATCCACCTGGGCACGGACATCCCCCTGGAGAACTGCATGGGTAGGTGCAGTGCCACAAAGCCCAGGGGTGGCTCCTCTTGGGTGCTACAACCTCTGCTGGTCTTGATGGGTCCCCTCTCGCTGGGTCCCGCTTGAACCTGTAGCACTTAATGCTTCAAACCTGAAGCACTTAATGCTTCAAACCTGTAGCACTTAATGCTTCAAAACACAGAGCGTTGCGACCAAGGTCCAGTGACCAAGGTCCACGAACTGCCAGCCCTAAAATCTTGCCCCTGCAAGTGCCTAAAACTGCAAGAACTTGTCTTGGATCACTCCTAACCACGGGCTGTGGCTGAGAACGTCTCACATAATTCACGGGTCGTTTCCGATGTCACCAAAATACCAGCGAGCAGCGGGATAACTGACACCAGCTCCTGGTTTTCGGATGGGGAAGTGATCTGGTTGCTTTGCAGCCTGAAGTGAACTCCAAGGAGCTGCAATAATTTTTTCCTTTGACAAACGTGTCATTGGCGTCCTGAGCTGGAGCGGTGCTTTCAGCTGCTCCTCTGACTCACGGGCCTAATGCGGGAGTAATCTAAAAATAATCACCAACCTATTACTCCTGCAGGAAAGCAAGCAGTAATAAGCACTGATTATTGCTTTTCAGAGCCAGTAATTTGTGACAGATTACTTCTTTGAAGCATCTTCAAAGGGAAAAACAGAAAACAACCTTTGTTTCTTGGCGCTGTCAGAGAGAGGAGCAGGGTGCAGGCAGAGGGACACGTTTCCCCTTATGGACACTAATGCCATTGGGGTCCAGGACCCAAAGCTCTCTTGGATAAATCCTAGGGGTTTCCAGAGTTTCCTCATGGGGCCAGGTGGGAATTGCCCTGGATGGCTCCGACCACCATGCCAAATCCAAACGACCCTCAGCCTCGAATGTATTTTCCCCAAAGTCCCAGACTCCTCTCGCTAACCCTAGGTTTTATTCTGTTTTCTCTTCTTTTGCAGAACCCATCACAGCTTTCCCAGGTGAGAACTTCCACCCTTCAGGTAAAAACCGCGCGCGCTTAGTGTGGCCTCTCGGGTGGCATGGGCTTTCAAAGCAAAAGAGACTGAACTGGGCGCTTGTGCTGTTCGGGCAGCAAAAGGGCGAGCGTGGGATGAGCCGGGGACGGTCCCCCCGCTGAAATGGGGCTGTCACCGAGGGGCTCCTGGAGCCCCATGAGGAGCAGAGTGGAACGAACGCGGGGTGGCCAGGGCTCGCGCGGGCGCCGGGAGGCTCCTCCTGGAGGTGCTGGCAAAGGTGGCAGCGCCGGAGGGGCACGTGGCCGAGCGGCTGCGCGGCGCTGGGCCGGCGCTGGCGGGACGACCAGCAGAACTGGTGCCTTGAACAGCCTAGCGCGAGCCCCGGCTTCGTAAGCGGCGTCTTCCTGAGCACGGCCCCGGTCGTCCCGCTCCGGCCTCCGGCTCTCCGGGTGCTGGAGATGCAGCTAGTCTGTTTGGAGGGGTTGGGTTTCATTTTGCTGCCGGCCCCCTCCAGGCTGTGTGAGGGCTGTGTGGCGATGGGAAGCAGAGCGGGGCTCCCTGGAGCACGTGAGGGCTTTGCTGGCGCGGGGAGGCGCGCGGCCGGATCCGTCCCGTCCCGGCGCGGCGTTGCGGCTGGCTGCAGTGCTCGCCTGTCCTGCTCGCGGTGCCGCTGCTGCGGCCTCCTCCGCGCGGTTGTCGCTTACACCACTCGGCTCCGGTGCTCCCGGCTGGCTTCCCAGGCGGCACCTTTCCCGCCCCAGCCTTGGAGCGTGAGCGTCGCCTCCTGCTCCAGCCTCCCGCCGCTCCAAGGGGCTGGCGATGGGCAGGCTCCCCGTGCCGGGAGGCAGCTTCGTCCGGGCTGGCAGCGAAGGCTCCGAGGAGGAGCCCTCCGCCAGCCTCGTCCTCGCGGCAGGTCAATGGGAACGGGCACAGCCATCCTTGCTCGCCCCGGCCTCCATGCAGGCAGCTCCATCCGGGGCACCAGGGCTTCCCCCTACTCTCCCCTTTCCCACTCTTCCCATCCATAGCTTCCCGAGCCACAGGAGGTGCCGGGCTTTCTGTGACAGGGAACACGGCATGTTCCGTCGCTGCCCGAGACGGGAAGCGCCGGGGGAAGAGCCGGCCGCGCCGGCGAAGGGCCGGGGCGCGCGTGGCGGGGCGTCCTGGGCGTGCGGCCGCCTCGCAACGCTGTTCTGTGTCTCCTCCGCAGGGGCCACCCTGCCGCCAGGGAGCGAGCCCACAGTGGACACGGTGTCAGTGCAGCCCATCCCAGCCTACTGGTATTACGTTATTGCCGCCGGAGGTGCTGTTGTGGTGCTGGCGTCCATCGCGCTGGCCCTGGTGCTCCACTACCACCGCTTCCGCTATGCGGCCAAGAAGAGCGGCCCCGCCATCGCCTACAAAACCTCCCACTATGGCAACGGGGCGCCCGGGGCCGTGGAGCCCACCCTAACCATAAAGCTAGAGCAAGAGCCCGGCGCGCGCCGCTGAGAGCCCGGCGCCACGGCGGAGAGCAGACAGACACACAGACAGACACTTAAAAGACTCCAGATGCGTTGCCTCAGTTTTGCACTTTTCTCCTTATCTAGCGTCCGTGTGAACTCTTAGACCTCTCCAGCCCTCCTCCGTGCCCCTGTTGTCTCCCCTCTCCTCCCGCCGCCTCCCCGAATCTCTGACGAACGTTTGTAAACTAGAATGCTGCACCTGGGATCGCCGGAGGAGACACGTCGCCCGTCCACGACCACCGCGGGGCCGGCCCCTCCGCTCGGGGAGGCCCTTCTCCCTTGCCTTGGGAGCGGGTTGGTTTTTCGGTTCGTTTTTCCCTCCTTGTCCCGCCGCCGGGAGCGCCGAGGGCGAGCGTGGAAGCGCCGGCCGGGATGTGGGAGCGCGGGCGGCCGGTGCAGAGCCCCCCGGTGCGCTGCTTGTCCTGCCACTGCTTGCCCAGGGAGCGCTTCGGGGCGGTTGTGTATTTGTTTGTTTGTCTGTTCTCGCCTGCCCTCGGGACGGCCCGAGACCCGCTGCGTTCCGTGGGAACAGCGCGATGCTTTTTGGTTTTCTGTTGCCTTATGCCTCGCTGTGGCGGGGATCCCTGTTATCCCGGCGTGCACGCGGAGCCCGGGGGCGTCCGGGGAGGCCCCAGCTCCTGCTTTGCATCCCGCCCTTCCCGAAGCCCCCTCAGCCATTGCCGTGCTGGGGGTCCCTGCTCGCCGCCCGCGAATCTCTTTGAAGTTGCCTTATGCCAGAGGAGCTCCCGGTGAATGTGCAGTGTGTGTTCAGGCCAGCCTTAGGGGAGCGTGCAGAGCTCGGCGGCGCCAAGGGGGCCGCTCAGCTCCGTCCTTCCCTCGGAATCCCAGGTTTATTTATGCCACGCGTAGCCTCGCGCGGGGCGCGGGCGGTTTTGCTTGTGCACGGGGAAGGGGGAGAGGCTCCTCGGGGTCTTTCTGCTGGAAATGGTCACGGGATGAGTGTAGTTCCCCTTCCTTGGTGTTGTTTCTTTGCTTTTTTCCCCCTCTCTGCCCGATTCGTAGCTGCTGATTCACAGACAGGGCCAGCCGGCTTGCTCGGCTGCACCGAGTTTCGCACGGGCTCGCGTCCCAGCAAAGCCCGGCCAGCGCCGCGGCCGGCGTGACCCGGAGCCAAAATGCCTTATCCACATTGCTGCACGGCCGCGCGCGCGGGCGGCTGGGATCCCTCGCTCCGACGGCAAAGAAAAAGGAAAAGGAAAGGGAAATGTGTCCGTCCTCGCGCGGTCAGAGCCGTGGCCGGTCCCGGGCGCCGGCAGCTCCCCGCGCGGCGCCGGGGCAGCGAGGAGGTGGCACCTGGGCGCTGCAGCCCGCATCACCAAAGACAAGCGACAGGTCACGTCGAGGTTTTAGCCCCCTCCCCAGCCCCGGCTGCCCCCCGCTCCTCGAGCCGTGACGTCCCCAGCGTTGCCCAGTTGCCTGTGTGTGGGAAAAAAAGATAAAGATTTATCTTGTGGAAATTTGAAACTCTTTGCAGATGTATTGTGTGGAATGTAATAAAATGACGATATTTTTATACAAACACCTGAGGTTTTTCTCCTCTCTTTGCGAGGCAGAACGCTGGCGAGCGGCACGGAGCGTGGGGCCATAGGGGCGCTTGGCTGGCGCGGCCGCCGTGGGCGCCGCGGTCCTGGGGCCTCCGAGCACCTCCACACGCCCGGCCCGGGTCCTGCAGCTCAGCCAGCCGCTGCAAGAGCCCGTCCTGCAGCGTGCGACGTGCTCCTTGTCTGCGGGAGGAGGAGGAGGAGGAGGAGGCACCTTCGTGGCCCCACGGGGAGCTGCTGCTTTCAGGTGCCCCTTTGGAAGTCCACGGCCTCTTCGTTCCTTCACAGTGTGTTTGGCTGACGGTCCGAGTGGTTTTTCTTTCTTTCCCTCCCGCGTTTGCTTTCCTCCTCTTGTGCTCTGCACCCTGCCGCTCGGCTCCGCTTTGCAACGGGACTCCCTGGCTTCGCGAGGAATTCAGAGCATCAACCAAACAGGGAAAAAGGAAAGCAGGTGGGATCTCTCGCTCAGACCGTTCAAACACAAGCAGAGCCAAGGACCTGCATCTCCCTGGGTTTTTTTCCTTCTTTTCTTCCTTTTTTTGTGCCTGCCCCACTCGTGCAGCTCAGCAGTGCCCATGCACTTGTGCATTTTGCATCCTCGCTGTCCCGGCAGAGCTCACATGGGAGGAGATGGGGAGTCCAAGGGCAGCAGACAGCTCGTGAGGAGGATTTTGGGGCCAGCCCCAGCAACAGGACAGACTTGAGGCTCTCGGCTGCTCCTCTTGCATCTACCTGCCGGCCTCGTCTCCTCCTGCCAGCGCCGCTATCCTGAAGCCAGTGTACATTAAAGCTCCTTAATCCCTGCAAATAGCTATTCCCGCCTGCGAACTCGTGCGGACGTGGTCCTCGAGGCGCTGCTTATTTCGGAGGAGCATCTCCTCTTTGGGCTCCAGGTCCCAGAAATCAGCTGTTCCGATCGCACACAGAGCCGCCCCTTCTGAGCATCCAGCCCTTCCCGGCGGGATGCAGGGCTGGCTTCATCCTTGCAGCAGGAGCGCCCCGATTCGGCACGCGCTTCAGGGCTGCCTCCACAAAACCTTTCCTTGCACTTAGATCCGGGGCTCCCAATGGCTTCCTCACCTTCCTTGGCCTAATAATTTCTTCTTTAGTTTTTCATTTTAAAATATTGGGTTTATTGTGGCTGAGGGTTGCCTTTTAAGAGGGAAGCTCTGCGTTGACCCAATGGAGAAATTTTCCCCCTTCTGCACAGGAGCTTGTGGATTTTTCTGTGGACTCTTTCCAGAGTGAGGTGGCTTTTTGTCTGGCTCTGTTTTCCACAACATTGCTGCGATTTGCCACAAAGGAGCCTCATTAACGGCAGCGAGCGGCGCTCCGCTGCAACGGGAAGGTGTCTCTGCCACGCGCGGAGCAGAGCCCGCCCCGGCTTCGCTTCCCACCGGCACCGGAGCTGAGACACGTTAAAGACTCAGGAAACCCCACTATGGAAAAAAGTGATGTCGGGTTATATGTTTCCACAGCCAGCATAGAGAGCTGAGAACAGATATAAAAAGTCCTGCCTAAGGAGAAGGGTGAGGTGATGAGGAGGCAGAGCGCTCTGAAGTGTAAGTTGGAGTCGTATTAGCATAGGGAATTGAGAAAACTGCTGAAGGAGTAAGTAGATTTGGGGCTAGGGGGTTTGGCATAAATGTTCTATTTTCACATTTTCCCAGTGCTCTTCCCTTTCAAGCTTAAAGAACTGATATTCCCCTGAACGCAGTGAATAACTGAGACTTTCTTTTTCTGGCTTTTCCCTCCAAACTACCCAGGGGAACAGAAAAGTGCCGAATTGTTAATGTGTTGTCACACACAACTCGGAGGAGCTCACACGCCGCGAAGCAGAGCACTTGCAACCTTGCACTTGGCTTCCTCTGCAGGCTGCGGTCCGGTTCCCACCTTGGCGTATGTTGGTGCAACCACCTACGCTTTCCATAGGGCTGCGTGGGTGAGGCTGCCGGCAGAGCATCGCCGCTCGCCTGCAGATGCCGCGGCGCTCGCCCGGCAGGCGCCTGCGAGCGGGAGCTGCTTGGCAAGTTCTTTCCCACATGTGCAGCTCCAAACACTCACACGAGGCCCCCGGGCACTTCTCCCAGCTCGAAGATGTTGCCATGTGGGCCCGTCGTGCCGGGAAGTGTTGGGGAAGCGCGTGAGCTAAAATGAGGGTTTGCAGAAGATGTTGTGCGCCTCTGTTTCTGCAACAAGCCGGCAGCAGCGGCGTCGTTAGCAGGCTTATTAATGCAATGCTGCTCATCAAACGGGACCAACGTTGTCTCCTGTGCCTCGAGAGGACCGTGCCTAGGTCCTCTTGAGCAAAGCCTTGAGTCCTTCCAGCAAGGACGGCCAAAGGCCGTTCTCAAACTGGTATTTGGGGAGAGATCGGTAACGAGTGCAGAGGAATAAGGACCGTGACCATCAGTCAGTTTTATGAATGAGACTTCTGCCACTTTCTAGTTTTTCTGATCTCAAGGTGCCGTTTTGGCTGAGCACCTCGGGTTGCAGTCAGGTTGGAAAAGCCTAAAGAGGTTACAGTGGAAGAAAAGCGTTTTCTTCTGGAGTACTGAAAAAGAAACACCGTTTCTGTACACAGAGGTAGTGCTGGGAAGAGTACACAGAAAGGTACTCACCTCTGCTCCAGCTGCGACGCGTGCGTTTGGTTACTAGTGCTTGATCTGCGCTGAACAGCAGAAAGAGAAATGGCACCACTAAAAGGGACTTGGATCAGAGAGATGTTAACGTAAATGCCTAGAAATGGACACCCATTTACCACTCTCCCCATTTCTGCCAGGTTTTGCATTAAAGCATGTAATGACGATACCCGACTCACTCAAATTACTGGGAATTTGTTTGAAACCCAAAGAAAAACTGGGTCACCGGAGCCCTGTGTCCACTAAGATGTGCAGGGAAAGATGAAAAGGAGAGCGTGCTAAAAGGCCCTAGCATTAATAGAAAGTAATGAAAGTAAAGTAATGGAAAGTAATGGAAAGTAATGAAAGTAAACTCTTGAAAGTTATAAGGATAATGCCCGTGAGCATGTTAATAGTGAATTATGGCCATTATGGAGGCAGCGATGACAATATTTTAGTGCTGTTCAAGTTACCTGGATTCTTTGCTCTTGAGTCTCTCTGTTTTCTGCTTAAAAGCTAGTTGTTTGATAGACAGGAGATGGGATGTAGTGGGAAGAGCCTGTTGTTGTCGTGAGGGTACAAGAGTATTCGCTGACATTCACCACACGAGGAGGAACTTTGCAGTGGTCAAATATTGTTTTCCTCCGACAGGTCCCCACAGTGACCATTGGCAATGATGCCTCCGAATGGCCTTTTTAAACACACAGTGCTTCCCATTTTGTTGTTCTAGTGAACTTCCCAAGACTGGAGGATGACTTTCCCATCCCTGAGCAAGACTTCGAAGACAGCGACGATCATGGTTGGTACCGAAATGCCACGTGGCAATATATCCCGGGGGAATCTAGCTTTGTAGTGGCAGGTGCCACAGTTATTCCCAGCCCTGAAGACATCTTCCATAGCTGGGGATGGGAGCAGGCTGGCACAGCCTTTCTGCTGGGTCTTGCCCGTTGTGATGAGACTCTCAGTTGTTTCATCCCTTCCCACTCTGCGACGTCGTGCAGAGCTGTGCAAGGTGAAGAAGTAGGTGATAGACTGCGGAGAGACAGGGAATTAGGAAGCCTTTCCCACTTGACCTTTCTGTGGGCCTCTCATATAGTCTTGAACAAATTAGTTATATTTAGTTTCCCTCTTCTTACAACCAATCCATCACCAATATCATTCCTCCCTTCCATAGCTCTGTGTTTATACCACCACGTCTAGGCAATGGCAATGCTGGTCTGAGAAGAAGCAAATGACTCAGTTCAAGCCAAAATTTTAGCAATTTGAAAGGTTTTTGAGGAAGAATTTCTTTCTTTACTGTTAGGATGTCAAAACCCTGGAATGGGCTCCCCAGAGAGGTTGTGGAGTCTCCTTCTCTGGAGGTCTTCCAAACCCATGTGGATGCAACCGGATACCCCGTGCTCTAGGTGTCCCTGCTGGAGCAGGGGTTTGGACTAGGTGATCCCTGGAGGCCCCTTCCAACCTCAACCGTTCTGTGATCCTGTTTGTGTTTTGAAAGCTGCTTATCCTTCCTACCTCACAGAATTCCCCCCAACTTCCTCTGAAGGAGGAACAGAGTGCTGCTGAAATCCTTGCACCCCGCCAGCTGCTCTGGCTCTTAGGCCTTCACGCAGGTTTTAGCTGGAGCTTTTCCCTGCCTTGAGCTTGAACCAACGATGTCATTGCTGTGTGGTTTTGGGGTAAATAAGCCTGCTTCATGGAGGCTGCCAGAGGTTGTGAGACATACGTGGGCAGGTCCCTGGTGAGGCAATGACGTGTTTGACACAGACACTCCAGTACTTCGAGGTGAGGGGCAGAGAGAGCGACCCACAGCCCAGTGACAGGAAAATAGTGAATGACATCAGTGAATTACCGCCCTGGAGCTAAGGACTTCTTCTGACCATGGCAGATATATTACCTGGTACATGGCAGTTTACCATATGTCATTGCCTAACGTTTTGTAGAGTGTCATGCCATCTACGCTGAGAGTGTAATTTAGGTTCTCTGAGTTGACCTCTTGGAGCATCCAACTTTCTTCCACTTTATGAACGCAAGGGTGATTTACCTTTCATTCGCTGAATTATAGATCCCCTTCCTCAGTGCCAGACGTGGACCCCAGGGGACATTGCCCACATCTATGTGAGTTTGCACAGACAGTAAACAGCATGTGTGAGTGCCCACTTGCAGAGGAGTGAGACAGGAGTCCTCCAGATTATCTAAGCAGCGTGTATGAGTGCCTACTTGTAGAGTGAGACAGAAGTCCTCCAAATTATCTAGGAGGCTTACAAACGTCGGCTTCAACGTTGCTTAGGAGCCAAAGCACACTCGTGCATTGAAGTGGTGACTTAGTGTCTGGACAAAGACGTCGTTTAGTTTTCTTTTCTTTCTTCCCTTTTTCAATGGCAAGCAATCCTGCAAAGTCAATATATTGTATTTGTGCTAGGACAAGTGGAACTGAACTTTCAAGCGCTAATTGCTGCTTGCCTGGCATTCTGACTTGCAAATGGAGAAAATGAAGTCTGGGAACTGTGACAGGTTTGTTTCCATAATTCTGAACCCAGAGTCCCAGCGAGCAAAGTGCTTGTATGCTGGTCACGTAGACCAAGATGCAAAAAGGAATTAGGGCTCCTATATTTCTTGGGAATTGGGTGCTTCAGCACTTTTGGACAGGGGTTGCCTGCCAATATGTACTGCCTGAGAGTGCAGGTGGCATCTTTGGCCATTACAGCCTCACGTAAGAAATGAGTCGTGTGGACAAAACAGTGATCCCTGGATAATAAATGCCCGTTTCACTGCAGATTACTTTGGATCGGATAGGAACGACACACTGTTCTCTACTAACTCTCCAGGAACACCCAAGCTGGACAAGGAGAAGAGCTGGCTCTACACCTTGGACCCCATCCTGGTCACCATCATAGCGATGAGCTCCCTCGGCGTCCTCCTCGGGGCCATCTGCGCCGGGCTGCTGCTCTACTGCACCTGCTCCTACGCTGGCCTCTCCTCGCGCAGCTCCACCACGCTGGAGAACTACAACTTCGAGCTCTACGACGGCATCAAGCACAAGGTCAAAATGAACCACCAGAAGTGCTGCTCGGAGGCCTGAGGGGGACCGCCTCAGGAGCTCCCTCGACACCGCGGTCCGGTGAGGAGGGCCGGTGGGGACGACTCCGTGTTTTTTGCTGTTTTCTACGGGAACTGAACGCCGTGATCTCCAGCGGCCCGGCCGGGAGGAGCGAGGGAGCGGGGAGGCCGCCGCCGGCCGCCACCACGAGGCCCCGGCTGGCGGGCTGGGGTCGGCGAGGCCTCGCACAGGCGTTTCCACGGCCGCGTTTGCTGGTCTCCCTTGTGCGTGGCAGAGCGGGAGGACGGGGTTGGGTTTTATTTTCCCCTTTTGGATGTGAGAAACTAGATGTCGGTCACTCTTTCCCACCTCCTCTCCCTGATAAATTGCCGAGAAGGCTGGGGGATTTCTTCCGCTCACCTGTCCTTAGGAATAATCCCCTCTACACATACACAGACCCTGCCCCTTGTCGACCCGCATCTGGATACTGTTTTGGCTGTAGGGCTTCGTGGGCATCCCGATAAACTCGGGAAGTGACAGTTTCTAATCCTGAAGACGGGGCAGGTCGCTGCCCTTGGGTTTCCTCCTCGTGCCGGGGGAAAGGCACGCGGCAGCGCCGGAGGCAGCGGCAGCGCTTCCCAAGTCATCTTGGGAAGTCATCCCAAGGGACCCGGAATGGAAAGGGAACCCTGCGAGTGGAAGCACCTCATTGAGAGAAGCTGAAGAGCCTTAAAGTGATTTGTGAATAAGAGCCATTTATTGAATCCAGATCTTGGATTGAACAGCTGTGGCCTTCGTGGGGAAGGCCTCGCTCTGACTCTCCCACCCCTCATCATCCTGCCTCCTTTTTCTTTCCTTTTTTTTCCTCTTTTTTTTTGACGTAAGGAGAAAATTGCAGCAAGCAAAGACGGGGTCCGTGTGGCTGCCAAGGCCCAGGCTTTGGAGCAGAGGTTGGGGCAGAGGCAGGAGCCAAACCCGGGCTCTGTGACGCTCCCTTCTCCCCGGCCACGGGCTCCTGCCAGCACCGGCATCTTCAGCCCTCCCTGCTTCACATCAGCAACAGAACCTGCAGTCTGATTTATGAGCTACATCTTGGATTCTTTTTTTATTATTATTATTTGGATTTTTTTACTTTAAACAAGTGCCTTAGAAGTGTTTCTCCCCCCATGCGGTGATCAGTGCTGTATCAGACAAGTGAGGCCTTCATCCTTCCCCCTCGTTTCGCTGCTCTTCACTGGATCTCTACTGGGTAGAGCCTCGCTGGAGAAGCCCCATCCCTCTGCGTCCAAGTGCTCCGGCTGCGCTGTCCCGCGCTCCGTGCCTCTCCACCCAGCTGCGCCACCGAGACGGTTCAATGCAGAAAAGCTCAAGAGCTGGGCCCCAAACCAAGGCCTTCATCTGCAGTCTTGCACAGGTGGAGCTTGCACGTGTAGAAGCTTTCCCAGCGCATTGGGCTTGTCTTTTTTTTCCGGAGCTCATTGGAAGTACCCGAAATGCCCGGATTTTACATTAGCAAACACTTTTGGCTTGGGGATGGATGTTTCCCGACACACACACACCCCTTCCTTGCTAACCATGGAGCGCTACAGGTGCAATGCGACACGCCAGCCAGCTTGCACAGCCCTCCAGGCAAGTTCTTAGGGGGTAAAGAGAAACAAAAACAGTAAAAACTGTCCCTTCTGGCACCGCTCACGTGTGGGAGGGCCGTGGCGGTGCAGAGCCAGGCCACTGCCAAGCGGCACTGCTGCTACTGCCCCATCTGACCCCGCCGGAGGGGAAGGACGGGTGGGAAAGGACCGTGTTGTAGAAGAGGCGACGTAGGCCAACGATAGGCGCGAGTGTTTAAGTTGAAGCGGTGAACGTTATGGTGTCTAGTGCAGAGAGCAGCGTTCGTGTCTACGTATATGCAGGCGTCGTGTGTTTGCACCCGCGCGGTGTGTGGTGTGTCTGTGACGTGTCCCGTGGCGCTGACTCGTGTTCTTGTAGCTATGGAGCCGGGGCAGGGGCGTCCTGCCGGCCTCGGCGCTGCCGCGGCGCCGGCGCGGGGCCCAACACGCTGCCGAGCCCATACCTCACCTACCTCTGCTGGGTGCTTCACTGTTCCGCTGCGGAAAGCGGTGTGCGGTTGTAACCTTAACAGGGAGAGAGAAAGGGAAAGAGAGAAAGGGAAAAAAAAAAAAAACAACAAAAAAAAAAGCAAAAAAAATCAAGCAAAAAAAAATCAAGCAAAAGGCAGTGCATTCAACTCGTTGCATCCTCCTCTGCAACTGCGTTATGGTTGCTGAGCGCCATTCCCTCTGCAAAATTCAGAAGAAAAAAAAAAAAAAAAGAAGGAGGAAAAAAAAAGGAGAAAAAGGAGAAGTCGGTGGTGGTGGCGCTGAGCGGCTCTCTGCAGAACGGAACCTGCCCGAGGTTGCAGGTCGAGGCGTTCGACCGATCGCTGGCTGAGCCAGGACTCATGGACTTGAAGAGCTTTTACTGTGATTCTTCAGTGTAAAAACTAAAAAAAAAGAAAAAAGAAAAAAAAATAAACTGTGTTTATATGATTTGTATAAAAAAACCTTTTAAAATTACTATTTAATAAACATTATGGTAGAGATCATGTTTCAGTAACCTTTTTTTTTAATTAATTTGTGCAAAAGCAAAAGCTAGCAAGCCCAAAAGAGAAGACTGCCAGGGACACCGTGGGGAAACCGGCCTCCCTGGCAGCGGACTGCTCATGGTCGAAGCAGTTTAATAGGCAAATAACTAATCCCTAATGTGAAATGCAGAGCCTGAGCATTAAAATATTGACGCAGGGCCTTGGGAAGAGCCGTGAATCTGCCGGCGGGGAGGCAGGGCTGTCATCAGCCCCAGACGGACGGCGGGGGGACTCGACAGCTCCCATCAATCTGCCAGGGGAGAAGAAATAAAGGCTGATCTGACCCCAAAATAATAACAATAAAAAAAGCAAAGGGTGATGAGAAGATTTTAGGGCCTGAAGGTGAGAGAAAGGGAGGACGGGGCTGAAAGCCCACGGGTGAGGACACCGGGTAGAAGCAGGAGCACAGTGAGTAGAAGCAGATGCATGGAAGGGGAGGCAGAAACTGTAAAACCTGCCCAAAATGCCCAGGTTACGCAGGATCTCCACCTGGCTTTGCCCATTTCTGACCCACGAGGGCTCCTTGATGCTGTGCAAGCACCACGCAGGCCTAATGAGTGAAATGTACTGCACAAGGAGGAGCTTCCCTGCCCAAAAAGCACCCGGTCTGAGTCGGCTAGGGGAAAATAGTTTTTATTTTAATCATTACCAAAATGCACACACATTTCTTGCCCACTGTACATCCCACGTTAGACTGCCCATGGGCTGCTCCATGGGAAACATGGGCTGCATGCTTCCCAGCACCTTTCATCCGGCATCTCCCACTGCTCCTGCCGCAGGGCCAAGGGTCCATCCTCCCCGCTTGTCACAGCAGTGGGAAAATCCAACACAGAGCGGCCCATCCTGGTGGAAAACCTGGCGCCAGCCCCATCTCCCACCAACCCGTGTCGGCGCAGGGACAGGCAGCACCCCGGCCCTCGCAGCGCGTGTTCGGTGGCTCCTTCAGCCCCGACAGCAGCCACGGGGCTCCGGGAGCCACCGGGAGATCCCGGCTCATGCCTTACCCTGCACATTTGTTGCTGTGCCCATTTTCCTGCTGCTCCTCCCTGAGGGGTCAAGTCCTGAGGGAGCATCCCGGTCTTGCTCTGGGAATATGCACTGATATTAGAGGGACCAGAGAGCTCCATCACTGCCAGCCGATTGACTGATGCTCCGTGTACGAGCTCCCAACAGAAGCCTCCTTCTGCACCGCGGATACACTCACAACCATCCCGGGCTGAAATCCCCACACAGCTGCCTTTTCCAAGGCTGCAAAAGCCACGTGGAGGTTCCCGGCGCCGCTTTTCCGGAGCCTCGCTTTCTGGCAAGGGGCAGAGCCTGGCTCCAGCCAATGCTCTGAGCTGCTCCCGGCTCAAAGGCGCCGGCCGCTCCTTCCCCCCATTCCCTGCCTGTGCCAGGGAGGCTCTGCTGAGAGAGGGGCTATTTGGGGCGGGCAGCCACAGCTCCTCCTTCCAGCACTGCCCATGCTCAGCCCCGCACCGATTCCCCCAGCTCCGTCCTTCTTTCTGCCTCTTCCCATCGTGGCTTTTCCTGCCTCCTTCCTCAACCACCAGCTTTCCTGAAGGCAGCTGCTGCCTCCCTCCTTAATCCTCGAGAGCCCTCTCTGTACAAAGTCCTCTTCACGTCAGTGCTCACAAATGCAGGTAATTAATAAGGTTGTGGCAGATTTTGCTCCGAGAACCCTCTTCCATCCATCCATCCATCCATCCGGCTTTTAAATGAGGCAGAGGATGGACTTTGCTGCTGGTTGTGGCTTAAAAAGGCAGGGAAAAGCCAGGCCATGGCCACAGCTGAAGGCAAAGGGACAGGGAGCAGCCCATGTGGTGCCCATCTCCCGAAGGATCCATTTCCAAAGGCCTCCTGGAAGATGCAGGTCCTGGGGTCCAAGCAGGTTGCCCAGGACATCCCTCCCCACTAAAGGATGCAAAAGAAGGATCAGACGGGGCCAAAGAGCAAGCTGGGTGGACAGCCTTGCAGAGCTCCTTTGGGAAGAGAGGGACGTCCCCTCCACCTCCCGGCAGCTCAGGCGCTGCTGTCCTCTCCATCATCCGCCAACCATCAGCGCCAAGGAGCCGCTTCCCTGCCGTCCTCTGGGAGCGGCAGCATCCAGAGCGGAGCGGTTCCCAGGCCTGCAGGGCTCCTTTCCCAGGCGCCGGGGCCGGCGCTCCCCCAGGACCCCCCATCTACGCGGCCTGGAGACCTCACAGCGGGAAGCCCTGGTGTCTCCAGAGGGACAGAAGCTTCTGGCAGCGGGAGAGGGCTGCAGAAAAAGCCCATTAGCAGGAGCCCGTCTGGTGGAGCAAGGTGATGGGTCATGCGTTTGCCGTGTTCTTCAGCCACATCAATAAGGGACTCATTGCTGCAACGTGCTTCCCAAGCGTTGCTCCAGCCAGCGGAGGGCTGAGCAGCACAACGCGAGGCGATGGTTTGGTTGCAAATGCTTAGGGAGCCACTGGCCACCTTAGGACAGAGAGCCCGTCCC